TCAGAAGGCTCTGGTGGGGTTATCAGAGGCTGTAAATCACATAGTTGTAAATCACATTTTCAGAGGCTGTAAATCCCATGCCCATCTTTGTCCTGAGGAGCAGCTAATGGATTCAAATTGACTGGCTTTGGGTTGGCAGCATAACTTCTTACCCACGAGGACACTAGAGCTCCCTTGACCATCTAATTACTGAGTGTAATTAATGTAAACTGTACAAGAATGGTTTTATCTATCACAGAGGAGAAGCCATAATAGAGTAATTCAGAGCTTAGATATAAGAGCTGTATTGGTTCTTTAAAGGCTTTGGGTGTCACATGATACACACACTTACATAGAAACTGATATGTTCATTCACTCCAGTCCTTCATCTGGAACTTGAGTTCATTTCTTCAATTTTCTAGAAAAGGCCCCCAAAGTAAACACCTTTGTGTAAAATTATTCTGCTGCTTTATAGAAATATCAAACCAAATCCACTAGTTTCAAGCTAATTTAAACTCGCAGTGACCCTGCATATAGTAGAATAGAACTGCCCCACAGAGATTTGAAGGTCTTAAATCATTATAGAAGCCACATCTTTAGAAGAGGAGCTGGTGCGTTCTAGCTGCTGGGTAACAGAGCTCTTAATCAATGTGTCACCAGGCCTCATAGTAGAGGACATTAGCTAGAAGTTAATTACTCTCCTTCATTCCCTTCCACTTTTGCTATCAAAATGAAAACAACTCATAGCGACCCTATGAACAGTAGATCTGAACCTTGTGCTATCCTGTACCATCTTCACAAACTCTGATATACTTGAGTCCATTGCTGTAGTCACTGTGTTAATCTGTAAGGCTGCAGGTCTTCTCTTTAGATATCCTTCAACCTTTCTAAGCATGATGTCCCTAGCCTCTCCTAGCAACATGCTCAAAGTATGTGAGATGCAGCTTTATCATCTTTGCCTCCAAGGAGCACTCTGGCTACACTTTTTTCAAGACGTATCTGTTCTTTCAGCAGGTTGTGGGATAGTCAGTAATCTTCTCCATCACCACAGTCCAAAGGCGTCAATTCTTCTACCATCCTTATTCATGGTCCAGCTCTCAGATGCATTGCAAGTAACTGAAAAGATCATGTTGCTGAATCAGGCACACCTTAATCTTCAAACTGACATCACTGCTCCTCAATAATTTGGTGAGGTTCCTGACTGAAGATTTTCCCAGTGTAATACATCTCCTGATCTCCTGACTGCTGCTAAGTGTATTGATTATGGATCCAAGTAAGATGAAGTCATTGACAGTCTCAATTTTCTTTCCATCTATCACTATACTGCCTATTGGTTCAGGGTTGAGAATCTTTGTTTTCTTGATGTTGAGATGCAACCCATGTTGAAGGCTGTAGGGTTTGACATTTTGCTGTAAGTAGTATCCAAGTCCTCCTCACTTTCAGCCAAGCAAAGCTGTGCCATCTGCACAACGCTTGTTATTGGTGAGTCTTCCTCCAATCCTGATGCCATGTTGTTCTTCATAAAATCCAGCTTCTCTAATAATTTGCTCAGCATACAGATCGAATAGATTGAATTCCCTTCCACTAGGGATGGCAAAAGATTTGATACCTTTGACTTGTGGTGCAGAGGAGGAGGAGAGAATATCTGACAAGAGAACAAACAGGTCTGTCTTGGAGAACGTGAAACCAAAGCGTTCCTTGGAGGCAAGGGCGGTGACACTGTCATACACACTTTGGGCATATTGTTGGGAGTGGTCAGTCCTTAGAGAAGAACATCATGCTTGGAGAGTGAAGGATTGGTTTAAGAAAGAAGACCCACAAAAAATGGATTGACACTGTGATTGTAACAATGGGCTCAAGTGTGACGGTGATGATGAGGATGGCACAGGATAGGGCAGGGTTCAGATTAGCTGTTCATAGGGTCTCCATGAGTCTTGGTGACCGCACCCCCCTCCCAACTTGAGACTTGGAAAAAAAAATCCCACCCCAAAACATGATTCTGTGCACAAGAGTGCACCGTTGTCAAAGCCCTTTAATAGCTGGAAATGTCCCCCGTCTGACTCACCAGTCTATCATCTGTATAGAGTTATTTACTGAAAAGCAGGGAAATTATTGGAAAACCCATTTGTCTTCGATTCCACACTCCTGCAGTCTGGGAGCCGGCCCACGCTTCCTCCCAGGGCCAGCAGGGGGGGCACGAGGCAGGTTTGTAAGCCGCGCCTCTCTCGTCCCCTCCCTCTCTCGTCCAATTTCCCCACAGCCACTGCTTCAACTAAAGTGGCCATTGACCTTTTAAGCTTTTGAGCAGTGATGCAATCGAGTAGTATTTCAAAGAAAAATAGTTATCGAAATGTTGGATCCGGTTTTCTCGTGAGTGTTAAAGCTTTTCAAAAAGGTCACATTTAAAGTAGGTCACACTTTGGGGGGCAGGCGTGCAGGCCAGTGGCTGCGTTTCCAACTAAGGTCAGGGAGGAGGTGAGGTTTCCCCAGCAGGGAATAGGTGCCGGATCCTTTCGCATTCCCAGTTCTTAGGCCTGCTGGAAATTGCGGGCACTAGCCCTTTGCAGACTGCAGGCACCAGGGCCCACACCACAGTACCTGTGGAGCGCACAGGTAAGGGCACTCCCTCGGCGGGTGCGCAGGTAAAGGAGGCAGGCCCGGGGCACCGGAAAGAGGCGAGCGAAGGAGGGTGGGAGGAGCGGGGGCAGGGCGGGTACCGGAGTGAGCTAGCCCCAGGGGAGGGGACAGAGGGCGCCCGCGCCGTTTAAGGAGGCGCCGCTCTTTGCATGCGCCGCCTTCTAGGATCCGCGTCGTGGGGGCTGCCCAGCTGGCTTTTAACCAGCTTCCTCTCTCCCCCGGGCGTATTTGCCAAGGATAAGACAGGGGGTCCCCCCTGCATCTTTCTGCCTTAGAGTAGGAAGGGCTTATTTCGGAGAACCTGCAGTCTTCCCAGCACCCTTCACATAATGTGCGCCCTGGAGGGTCCGATCAAGTAGGCGTGGATGGACCGGAGAAGACGAGAACCCCGGCGGCAGGGCTGGGCAAAGGAAATGAGGATGTCAGCGCAGGACTGGCGCGGGTGGGGTGCAGGCTGCGGTGGTCAAAACGGGACGGTGGCAGTAGGCGCTGTCACCGGCCTTGTCCCTGAGTAGCGCAGAGGGTAAGGTCAAAGGAGGACGGATCACCCGGCACCCAAAGTGACCCTGCCGGAACCCAGACGCTCTGCGCCCGCCTCCCCCGAAGCCTGTGCTTTAGTGCCGGAGCCTCTTTAAAGCGGCAGCCAGGGCCGCGGTCACGTGAGGCGAATTCCTGGAAAGTTCCTGGAAAGCGGCCTCGGCTGCAGCCGGCGGGGCGGGGCGCGGAAAGAGAGAGAGAGGCGGGGAGCCGGGGAGGCGCGTCCGCCTGGGAAGCCGCGCGCACACACCGGCTCCCGGACCGGCGTTTAACTCTTGCCAAGTCTTCCCGCCACCGCCGCGGCTCGCGGGCCTTGGGCTTCCACTGAAGCATGAGCCTCCTCGCGCGCAGCCGCCGGCGCTGTGCGGGCCACGGACGTCCAGCCTCCGTATCTGCTGCCTGTACTGCAGACAAGTACGGGCCGGGGAGGACGGCAGGTACCAGAGGGGGGAGCCCCGAGACTCCGCCCCGAGGAGGGTCGCTGGGGAGGGCTGTGGGGCGCGGCCGTGTGCGCGCTGGGGATCGGCGGGCGGCCTTTGCTTCCGCAGTTTAGACCCGCCCGGGGAGAGAGTCCGAACCGTGGACCTGCCAGGCAGCAGGGCGCTTGTGCCTGCTTTCTCTGGTTCCTTCCAGGCGTCAGAAAGTCTCTGGAGTTGTTTTGGTTTTCCCCCCCCTCCCCTCCCCTCTTAAACTGCCATCCAAATTAATAATCCTCATAACCTGATCTCCTGCTCCTCCCCGCCGCCCTGCCTTCCGCCCTCGCTTCTTCCTCCCTCCCTCTCTGCTTCCCACCTCCTCGGTCCCAGCCCGAGGGAAACCCCGCAGTTGCCGAGACTGTGCGCCAGGAGGTGTCAGAACTCATGGCTGGTGTCGGAGCCCGGGGGTCCAGGCGATGATCCCCGGGGCTTCTGCTTGTCCTCGGCGCGGAGAACTCGGCCAGCCGCTGCAGAGCACACGGCGCGCCGCATCCCTGGACAGTGCGTCCCCAAATTAAACGTCAACAAGGGAAACTCGGACAGACACCCCTCCTCTCCCGGGCCCCTCCCGGTTCCTCCGCCCCATGTCCGCTGGGGAGGCTGCTTGCTGTGGAAGCGGTGGCCGCGGAGGCAGAGGTAAGGGCTCTCCGTTTGTTGTCTTCACATCCTGCCGCTTTTCGCTGCCCCCTGCCCGGAGTTCCCACTCGGGCAGATTCCTCGACAGCGCTCGAGGCGGCGGCGGCGGCAGCGGCAACTGCCCATCCCCGGAGTTGCCACCACGGCTCCCGGTAGCGCCCCCCACCCTTACCCCGAGCAAGCACTGGGAAGTGGGGGAGGGGCGCGAGGCGGCTCCAAGGTGAGAATGCAGTGGGTTGTGCACTGCATCTTGGACTGCTGGTTCGAGTCCTGAGAACCCCGCAACGCTTTAGTCCCGGGAACCAGGTTTGTGCGGGCTGCCTCTTCCTCGGCATTTCAGGTTAAGCCTGGCTGGGATGGAAGTGCAAATTTGGGGATCTCTCCAGCACTGTCCATTTCCCTTCACCCACACCTGCCCTTGACCAGATTATAATCTTATTAGAGTTGCAGGTGACCCTTTTCTTCCTAGTCTGATGTGAGCGTACACCCTCGGGCTGAGAAGTCACCCCATTCTTCATCCTCATGCTGTCTCCCCACGTCTCCCTATCCCCTCAGACAACTCTGTGCCTCTTTATCTTCCTTTCTCTATAGCTGGACTCTGGGCCTAAATGCTGCAGAAGCATAGGAACAGATGAGCGCCAGTGATGGCCATCTGTAACCTCACCCATCCCTCGCACCCCAGCTGCAGCGATCCAGTCAGGACTGGTCCAATCACTCACTTTCTCTTTACAGACGAACTCTGGTTGCCCGTGGGGGACTGTGCTATCCGTGCGCTCAGACCCGGCGAAGAACAACCTGCAGCTTTCCATCTTGTCCCCCTTTGGTATCATTTCGGACATCCAGCAGGGACTAAGTCTAGGATTTCCACTGACTTCAAGGAAGGACGCGTGCCTCTCTCCGAGCCCAGCTCAGACGGACACCTGTCTTTGCCGCGGTGACTCTTCCCCCATGACCTTGCGGTGCCTCGAGCCCTCCGGGAATGGCGCTGATGGGACGCGCAGCCAGTGGGGTACCGTGGGGTCTGCGGAGGAGCCGTCCCCGGAAGCGGCGAGGCTGGCCAAGGCCCTGCGGGAGCTCAGTCAAACAGGTAGGGAGGAGGGCACCAGCCCGTGACACCGGGAGGAGGTGACACCCTAAAGACTCGGCAGAGATCGCGCTGGCCAGGAACACAGCCGGGATGTGGGGTCTGGGCTGGAAGCAAAGACTGGTTTCCTCTCCGGATACCAGAACGGCCCTGGATCCTTGGTAATGCAGAGGGAAAGTGGTTCCCTAGGACTCAGAAGCCTGGGGGAGGGCTGGGTGCGCGAAGGGTTTCTTGGAGATAATCTCCTACTGCGCTGGAACTTTACGGTCTTTCTGCGGCTGCTCAGCGCTGGGTGTTCTTGTTTGAACCCTGGTGGAAAAAGCACGCGTAGCTCCCTTTCCACGGGATGCAGGGGCGGCGGGGAGTCACCACGCTCCCGGCAGCCCCAGGTGCACCCGGCTATCGAGCGGAGCCGCCCCAGCCCGGGGTCTTGGCGGCCAAGTCTGGGGCTGGACGGAATGCTGCGCGCGCGGGTAGATGAGTCCCGGAGCCGGGGCAAGGAAGCCCCAGTAAAGCCGCAGCCCTGACGCCCCAATCGAGTAAAGCCCTGCCAAGTGCCATCTCCCTCGTGGGCCAGCCCAGGGGTATTGATTGTTTTTAAGTGCAGTCTACGCAGACAGCTCGCTCACGCCTCTCCGCATCTAAAATTTTTTTTTTTTAAATCTGGCAAAGTGCACAGGCTTTTTGAATCCTAAAAGCTTTCGATTGGAGCAAAGTTGCGGGTTTGCCTACTGTGCAGAGGGGAGAGCCCCATGCCATGCGGCTCCTGGCTTGTAAAAAGGAAGGACTCACAGAGTCTCTGAAAGGGAGTGAGAAGACATACGTTTAGAAGCAGAATGTCTGAGTCATTTTTGAAAACAGAGTAGATCTGGGAAATGGAGGCAATCAAATCTAGAATGATTAGATTTAGATTGAGGCAGTCCAAAAGAGTTTAGATTGTAAACGTCATAATTTCTGGATGACAGAAAGGCGAACAAGTCAAAAGCAGCAAACAAAAGTTATCCAATTAGACCTGTAATTTTTCCACAAGAAATGGACTGTTTCCTAGGTTTTAAGCAATGAAATGGGGCCAAGAATATATTTTTTATGTGATGGGGTGTGGGAGCATAAACCTCCCTAAACAGGTTTCTGCTTTTATTTGGCTGGAATTACTTACATCTTTGGGCTTTGTTGCTTTTGTGTTTTTGTTTTGTTTTTAAAGGCATGGCTTTTTATTTCTAACCCCTAATTTATTTCAAATCTACTTTAAAGCTGTGATTTCACTTCAGTAATACATTATGGTCTGTCAGCCAGTGTGTCACATTGCAAACATTCGTTTATTTCTTTAGAAGAAATTCTTAAGCAAGCTTAAAGGACAGGCCCCGAAAGTTATTTTCTTGAAAAAGAAAAGTTGCTTAGTTACGTTCCTAAAGTAAAATGGACCCAAACTGTCATTAAATTTCTACCAAAAGTATTTCTGGCATTCGCTGGTAAACTTTCACTTAAAAACTTTTTCCCTTTTAATAGCTAGAAAAAGTATTACCAAGAACTTTCCATATTATAAAGATTCTGATAATAATTATTTTACCTTCTTCTTTTTCCCCTTTTCCCTTTTCTTTTTGAACAAAACCCCCAGGATGGTACTGGGGCAGTATGACTGTTAATGAAGCCAAAGAGAAATTAAAAGAGGCACCAGAAGGAACTTTCTTGATTAGAGATAGTTCACATTCAGATTATCTGCTCACAATATCTGTTAAAACATCAGCTGGACCAACTAATCTTCGAATCGAGTACCAAGATGGGAAATTCCGATTGGACTCAATCATATGTGTCAAGTCCAAGCTTAAACAGTTTGACAGTGTGGTTCATCTGATTGACTACTATGTTCAGATGTGCAAGGATAAGGGAGTGGGCCCGGAGGCCCCCCGGAACGGCACAGTTCACCTTTATCTGACCAAACCGCTCTACACATCAGCACCATCTCTGCAGCATCTCTGTAGACTCACCATTAACAAATGTACCGGTGCCATCTGGGGACTGCCTTTACCAACGAGACTAAAAGATTACTTGGAAGAATATAAATTCCAGGTATAAGTGTTTCTCTTTTTCTAAACATGCCTCATCTAAGTCTCTCCGAATGCAGCTATGTAAAAGAGAACCAAAACTTGTGCGACTGCTCTGGATAACTACGTGGAATTCTTTCTAAGAACAGCTGAAGTCGGTCTAATTTAAGTGTGTAAAGAGGTAGCTAGGTATTTAAAGTTCCCTCATGTTTTGTTTATTGTTTTTCTTTTATCTTGAGGGGATGCTTCCCTCCCTAAGATTGCCCAAGACCAGTTGGTCATTTTCAATTCAGGTGTTCTAGGTGAAAGCTGTAGGAGCATTTTATCAGAATACCTTGCCTTACTGGGTGGGATTCCATTCCACCAGGTCCAGGTCCTAGTACTGGTGGTAGATTGAGTGCCTCTTACGAGCACTGATGGAGAGTAAGGAACCAAGCTGACACAGGCTTGTGAGTTGACAGCAATTTCGTAGGCCTGCTGATCAGAGTATTTTTAGGACTTTTTATACTTTGCATTTTGATGTACCTAGAATCTGTTTTGTCAAACAGATTATGCTTGTGAGTATTTATCCTTCATTTTATGCAATTAACCAAATCAACCAAAAAAGAGATAATCCTGTATTTGTCTTACTACATGTATGAACTCTCCTGTGAATGAGTACTGTAGTAAACCATTTAAAGGGAGCCTTACTTTAAAAATATTTCATACTGGTGCAAATGGAAAAGACCTCCTCCCTCCTCTTTTCCTTTAAGGCTAAAGACAAGAATGTCATGCTATACAGGTGCAATTCAATCCCTGTTAATAATACCGACGTAGAATAGACCTTCACCTTGTTGAAGTAGCTTTGTTCCAACCTGTTGCCATTGATTTTATTTTTTTTTAGACATGGCTGTAGAAATTTCCAAGTTGTCCTTGGATTGTTTAGCCATGGACATTGACAGTGACCTCCCTTCTACCATGTAGAATACTTTGACTTCATTTTCTTCCAGATACAGGGGGGATGCCTGCCTGTTTTTCCAAGTGTTTATTTACTGCTGTTACTATTTGATTAGAATGTATTAAATAAATAAAAAAGACTGTCTTCTACAAGTTGCACTTATTTGTAGAGCACATACATTTCCATGGCAATAGCGGATTGCCCTAAAAACTGATATCAAGTGAAGTAAGTAAAAAATTCAGCAAAGGGATAGAGTAGTATTTGCCTGTCTTTCTAAGTAGGGGTTATACTTGACTTTGCATTTCTGAAAGTATCGCTTACTAACGAAGGATAAGAATTGCCGAGAAGCCTAATCTTTTAAAAGCTGAATAGATATAATGCTGATGCCTTTTATTTTTCCAAAAACATGATTTGGAAACTACAAAAATGATGACATGGCCTACTCTTTTACAAGTGTAATAGGCATGTCACAATATCAAATTAAAAGTTTTATGGCAATTTCTTTTTTTCTACATTTTCTCAAGACTCCTGCAAATGTCTGCTCTTTTCTGGAGTCTGAGCATTATTCCTTTTACCCTTTTTTTATTTTCTAGATAGCTGTGTGCAGTAGGTGAACCTGGCATAGCGTGAATATGTCCTGATGGACATAGAAAATTCTTAGGTGGATATTGTTCCTTCAAGTCCGTTTTACTCATAGCAATCCTCTGTATTACAGAATGAAACACTGCTCGTTCCTTTATCTACTTTTAGAAATTATAATACAACCTACTCATTGCATATCTTAGCTTATTTTCACAAAGCTGTTGTAGAAGGTTTTGTGCCTGAAAGGAAATGTTAACTAACTATGCATCTAAACAGCAGGGAGAAACACAAAAAGATTGCTGGGTGTTTCTTGAGAGTGTACTTGTCACCTGATACTCCAAGAAAAGCTAGAGTTTTAGGCCTAATCTATGGTGAGAGCAGAGCCTCATTAGGATGCCTGGGTTCTGTGATTTATTTGCCCAGTTTTGTCTCCTGACAACAGTTGTCTAAAGTGAGATGTTTAACTTTGCTGGCAAAAGTTCCCTAAGAGCACTGCCAAGGGGCTTTGTGGAATTTAAAGGTCTTTTGCATTTCTGTTGTCTTTTGTTTCAGACACTCAAGTTCCTTGGTTACTGAGAGTGGGACAGGTTCTCAGTTATTAAGAACAGGAGGCACCAGTGGGATTTCTACCCCTGGAATTGTAGAACGTCGGCATTCTCGCTTTGCCGTTGTCGAAGTTATCTTTGGGTAACTTTTGACGCGTGGTGACCCCATGTGTGCAGACTGTTCCAAAGAGTTCTCCAAGCTGTAACCTTTCAAAACCAGACTGTCAGTCCTCTCTTTCCAAGGTGACTCTGGGTGGGTTTGAACTGCCAACCTTTTGGCTACTATTGGAACTTTTAACCATTTGTGCCATCTAGACATTCCTTGTATTACTGCTGGTTAGCAAGTACAAAATTATGAGTAAGCTAGAGGACAGCAAAAACATCTCTGTCTTTTCAGTCTTCCTGTTTCAACTCAGTCAGCACCAAGAGATAGTTTTGCTTTTTAACAATTGAGTCACCAACCCAAAGGCATGTAGTTCAAATCCACCAGCTCTTCCACCTGAGAAAGATGGGCAGTCTCCTCCCAGTAGATTTCCTGCCTCTGAAAACCCACTGGAGGGTCACCCTATGAGTTAGTTCTAGCTTCATGGTACATAACAATAACAATCATTTACTTAATGTCCTTTATTGTGTATTATGTGCTGGGTGTGTCTGGCATTTTACACATATAATCTCATTTAATCTTCACTGCAAGTGAATGAGCAAAGTGTATGAGTTACAGGAGGTGCACCCTTTGTAACTCCGAGAGGCATTCCAGGAATATTCTGGCCCTTTGTCTTAGAGAGGCATTACGAAGAGTGAAGAACGATATTGATTCAGATGAGCTGTTTAGAGCAAGCTATTGGGGGAACTTGCAGCTTTTTTCACTGCTACCTCATTTGGAAAAAAAAATAGGACTACCTTAATTAGAGCTCAAGGAGGCTCTAGTAGGTTAGTGGTAAGGAGTGGTGCTGCCAAACTAAACGTACATGGTTCGGATCTACTAACTGCTACAGAGGTGAAGGATGAGTAGTCTCTTCTTGTGTGATTTACAGCCTCTGAAAGCTGCCCAGAGGGTCAGCTATGACTCATTTCTAACTTGACAGCATATAACAACTGCAACAGTTAAAGCTCTGGTGGCTTAATGGTAAAGAGTTATGCTGCCCCTACCCAAAGCCAGGAGTTCTAACCCACCAGCTGCTCGGAAAGAGCAAGACGCGCAGTCTCTTCCCCTGAGATTTCCTGCCTCTAAGACCTGCTAAGAGACCATGTACCAGTCGGTTCCAACTTGATGGTACACAACAACCTTCAAGAGCTGTGTGCTTTGCAAGTTCCAAGTCAGCTTGGCCCAGTAGTTGGCTTGGTTCCCTCACTCCCCCATAAAAGCAGAGCACCCTAACTGGCTTGGACACGGGGATGTGTTAACTCTTTTACTTGGTAGCTGGTAAGTTATGCCAGTTCTCCATTATTATTATTGTTGTTGGCTGTCAAGTTGAAACCAACTCATAGCTGACTCTTCAGTGGGTTTTCAGAGGCACTGAATCTCATGGGAGGAAACTGCCTATCTTTCTCCCATGGAGCAGCTGGTGGATTCAAACTGCATTTGATTGGCTGCATAAACACTGGGCCACCAGAACTCCCAATTACTAGCAGCCGTATCTTTTTTAATTTTTATTTTTATTTTATTTATTTTTTTTTTTAGCAGCCGTATCTTACATGAAAGATACACACAATCCTAATAAAATCCAGAGAAATGACCCATTATTCTCTCTCTGTGCAGGGAAGTTTGAGGTATTCGGAGAGTTTGTTGAAGTATAGTACAGAGCATAGAGATTTTTAAGGATGTTAGCTGTTTTGATCTGAGTTTTTGTCTAGAGCAGAGATGAGGCAGTGGGGTGTTTACTATCACAGGGGGCTCTGGTTGCTGCTTTTTAGGGACTTTTGAGGGAGTTTTTACTTTGGACAGTGTGGGGAGGAGGGAAGCAGTTCAGCTTTTGGTGTCTCAGGAAGAAAGTCTTAGCTTCATAGTAATTATGTAATCCAAATAGGTAACAGAATGGGATGGTTGTTTGGGAGTGTTTATTTTCTTGGGAAGGATTCTCTCTGCTTTTAGAAAATTGTACCCTGATGGGAGGGTAGGAGACGTCATCAAATAATCCATGGGCTGGAATGCCCTGACACGCAGGCTGTGGGTTTAGACAGGGCAGGTGGGGGTTGTTGGGGTAAAGTTCTTAGTAACGAAATATACGCCTTACGACCCTGACAACTAGGCAGAGGCTTCTGATGGTCCTTCCTACCATTTGGAGAAAAGAGTGTTGTTCACTAAGAAGCATGTATATTTCTCCTTCTTTAACCTTAAGGAATTTAAAGCCTGAAGCCACTTTCCAGTGCATGTGTTTTAGTTCCCTTTCAACAGAAGCATTTCAGACCAGGAAAGTTTATGAAAGTTGAGGAAACAAAATGAACCAGCAAATGAGTCGCAGAGCATTTGAACGGTGACATTTTGATTTCCTGTATAATATTTGCCAAAGGTGCACTGTTTGACCCTTTGTTTCAAGGGCCAGTGCTCTTCTTTGCTACTTTGTGAGCCTTGGATGATTTTAACATTGTGGTTTTTATGCTAAGATTTGGAGAGCAGGCCTTTGGGATACCATGTGGGTTAATTCTTAGTTCTTGGCTTCTCCTCCGACTCCCATGGTTCACCTTCTGCTGAGTTTGATTCTGTCTTGATCCACATTAGAGTTTTGCGTTCATTTGAGCTCAGCATTTCTAATCTGTTTGCTGTTTGAAAATCTAGAGATTCCCGTGCAGGCTTTTTTGTGAGCTCATTTCTGCCTCTGCTGGCCCTGACTCACACAAGCCTTCAGTGTCTGGGAACCGCCTTCCCTCTCGTCCTCACCAGGATAACCCGTTCTGTCTTTAGCCCGTTCATGGACCTAATGGCATCTTTATCTTGCTTTACTTTCTTTTTTGTTTCATGAAGTTGTCCTCATAGCTCATCCCACACAGGCCTGGTGGTGGTAAAATACTGCAATAAAAGAAGGTAATTTATTCTT